ACCTTAAAAGCAGAGCCTAACACAGCAAACTCAGCATAAGCAAGAAAATTAAATGGGCACCAAATTCCAGGATTGATTGTCCATTTCCTTCCTTTTCCAAACCAGAAAGCTGAGCTCTCTAACCCTCCCAACACCAGCTTCAAACCCTAGAGAGACCAAAGGATCTCTTATATTGCCACACTAAAGTAACCACTCAAAGCACACAGAGAAGAAAAACCTGCCTCTTGAGTTCTCTGTTTGCTCAAGCAAAACGGACAGGCCAATTTGCTTTCTACAGCAACTCCATCTTAGCTCCATACCCTCTTTCCTTCTAGTTCCCTCCTTGTAGCATCCCCTTCACCAGTTTCAGAGAGCAATGCATAAGATCTTTTTCTTTGTGAGCTTGCTTTTCTACTCGTCTTACAAGTTCTCACTTCTCCACTTTCTATCAGCCTGACATCAGTTCCACTGTCCCCCCAATTTCTCAGCACTTCTCTTCCCCAAGGAGCCTTCCACATTATTTCTTTTTTCCTTTTCTCACCACCCTTACTTCAACTTTCCTCTACAATAGTATTTCTATTTGGTTTAAGAGTTCTTCCACACAGTTTAGTATTTCTATTTGGTTTAAGAGTTCTTCCACACAGTTTGAAACCTCTACACTTCATTCCTCTCCTCCCAGCTACTGTTTCCAATCCCAATACCTCCACAGCCTCTCCTCCGCAGTGGGAAGCAGCCACCCAGACTTCAGGCATGAAAACCTCTAGCACCAGCTATTCTGCAAATAATTTGCTTAAGAGAATCTAAGTCAGGCCTGCTACACTGGAAGTCCTTTGACACAGGACTCAATTCATAGAGACTTAAAAAAACATGATACACCCGGTTTACCTCTGTTACTCCAAACACAACGGATCAATAGACTTTAATTTCAGAAAGCTCCTCAAGATGTTACACACAAAGGACAAAGGTGGTGGCGGAACCAAAACAAAACTAAAATGCACCTATACCTCCAGAGGACTTTGTTTTCAAAGCAACCTTTGAAATTTTGGCCTATTGTTCTCTACAGCGCACAACAGAGCATTCAGCAAGTGGTTTCTATTTTTAGGACGTCTGGGAATGTTTTGCTTTGTCTTTTTCACTCTGTAGGAACACAGTGCCATCTATTGGAAAAGCTATAAAGAGCAGACATTGGCTGTTTATTATCTGCAAAAAATTCTTTATATTTGCAAAATATTTTTACTTTATTTATTCATATTTATTTATAATCTTTTTATTTGCAAATAAAAACTTTGATTTCATAACAATTAAGTAGGCTAAGTCCTTACCATAGGTTTTATAGGCATTTGTTAGGGTGTGCAAACCTCATATTATGGAAAATTCCAGACTTTTACATTTAACTTAACCAAACACTTCAGAACCTCACAATTACAACTGTACTAACATGCCAGAGACAAGAGTTGCTACTCTTAAAAATAAACATCAGGAAGGTCTACCATGCATAAGCCTTTTTTCTTAATCCTACGTCTGCCATTGCAACGGGCCTCCTGATGTTTGAGCATCATACAGGAATAAACACAAATCCTGCTCCCTAACCTGATCGTTATTAATCTTCCAAGATTAGGCAAGAGATACGTCTTTGAAAATTCTCCTTCCATCAATAAGCGGCTCACATTGAGCTTTCCTACATCTGTAAGTAGGCTTTCTTGCTTTCTACAGTCACTGGCAACTCAGAGCAGCAGAATAAGCCTGTAGAGCACTCATAGTCCACATTCAACATTAAACAAAGAGCAAGACAAATTTCAAGAGGGACCATTTTAAAAAGGATTCTGGAAGAATTCCAGAGGAGTCTGGGAGATCCAGGCCTGCAGGTATGCCATCCACAGTAGGCAATTAAACAGAGAAACAGAGAGGCAGAGGCTGAAAAAGGCAGGTCTCTAGATAAGCCAGGCAGCATGGAAGACTCACCATAGGGAACTCTTTCTTCCTGAACGCACTTCCAGAAGCATCCAGGGGCCATGACAGTCCCTCGCTAGGTGACAGCAGGCTGAGACCAGGACTCCCCTGGCTACCACCTCGAGGGGAGCGATGAACATTGGGGATGGCACAAGAAAGAAGCACCTGGCTTTCAAAAGGAAAATGAGGCACAGGTGAACCACGTAACTGTTTGGGGAAAGAGGAGGAAGAGGGACAGCAGGATTTCCCCTCCCTAGATCACAGTGCAGCTGGCACTTTGCATCCCTCACACACAGGTGTTTTCCAAATTTATTATGTGGCTATACTGAAGATTTAGAAAATATGCTAGTGCTAATACACAGGCATTGGGAACTCACCCATAATGGTGAGAAGGTGTCTTTATGCCCATGTGTACTGCTACATGTAACTACATACATGTTTTTATACATAAGCTGCTGCCAAGCAGCCACTAGAGCAAATCAGTGCTGAAGTGCAACAAACCAGGACCAAAATGCCTAATAAAGAAAACAACTTAGTATAATAAAAACATACTTTCTTCTCATAAGCCTGCCTGTAGGACACCTAATTTTGCAGAAAAAGTGGCAATTACAAGCAACAGGCCAGGGCCCTCCTCCTTTCACCTCATGAGAGCAGCTGTGGCCATGCTGGAGCCCAGCTCAGCACCACACAACAAGAGACTGCTCACACCATGGAGAAACCCTGCCCAGCTCCCACTCTCATCCCCTCCCAGGGGCACACAGCTCACCTCCCCACATCCCCTCAGCAGCCCCTGGGGAATGAGGCGGAATCACGGAGCTCACCCCAGCACAGCACCCTTCCCGCCCGGGATCTCCCTGGCACCAGCCCCACTGCAGCAGTGCCATGGGGCTGGGAGGGAAGAGACCCCCATAGCCAGCAGCACCAGGGCTCACCTCATCTCACAGCCTTGCCTCCCGCAGGAAGGCCTTGTGCTCTAGCAGCCGTTCACTTTATGTCAGAAACAGCCATCAGATAAATAACACATATTATTTTATTATTATAACATTTATATTTCATTATTATTTATAACATTCTCATTTCCCTGTGATTTCCAGTAAATCCACATGAATTGTCCTGATTTCGCATGGTTTTCAGTGTGAAATGCCCATCTTGGAACATGCTGCCCCTCAGGTGTCAGGCCCATCAAGAAGAGCAGAAATGCAAACAAGTGTTGCCTCTTGTAGGGCCTGTTTCTTTTTACTTTTTCCCAGAGTCACAACAAAAATCAATCAAAGCCGAGGTAAAGACTAAAGCTATGAAGGAGATCCTAAGGAGAAGGTCATAGCACCGTATGCCCCCGCTGCATGTCCTGGCTGCTCTCCAGCACCACGGAGGCATGTCACAAAACAGCTGTGGAGGCAATGAGCAACATCTGCTCCACGCACCCTGAATGTGGCAAAAAACTGTATAATCACTCACCCAGACGGCCAGAGCAAGACAGCAAATGTCAAACTAGCAGTTCTTCCTTGGCAGGAGGGAGCTGCTGCCTGTTCCTGGAGACCCACCAGGGAAGAGGGAAAGGAAGTAGCGCTGTCCCCATTCAGTTTCTTAAGAGGTCTCTGTCCAAGGAATGGAGTTCCTCTCCCTTTCTAATGATTTGTGGTTTGGGTTATTTTTCCCCAGTTACACAAAAACAACATTTTCATTTTTTGGTATTCCCAACACTTGTGCAAACACTCCTCTATAGTCTGTACTCCTCAGCACTGGGACATGTATATCCTGGCACACAGAAAACATGAAACTCACTGCAAGCAAAAGATTAATTTTATTCATCCTTAGATACATTACAGATATCTCTTGTTCACTTACACTTCCTTATACCACTATGGCACCTGCTTCAGAGATGACCACACCATCACTGAAAGCAGTGAAGTTAATGCAAAATTCAGAGGGGACAAAGTGGTAACGAAAAGACAGAATAAGCGAAAATTAAAAGCCTTAAAGCGGCACTTCAGGGAGTTGATGTCTGCAGTACAGATGAAGGGCTGATATGGGCAATCTGGCTGCATGATCTTGAGGGCTTGTTTGAACTTTTTGGTATAAGCTGCACTGTGAAAGCAGCAGAGTAGATGTTAACATAGGTAGGAATTCACAAGATCTGGGCCTAAATATCTAGAAGGTGTCCTGCAACCTTCTCCATTACGGAGCTGCCCTTTTCCCATGCCCCTGATCCTTTCTTGAGTGGTGAAATCAGGAGTTATTTGAAGTATTTTCCTTCCTGCTACAGCATGTGCATTTGTTAAGCATTACCCAGGCGATGAGCAGTTACAAAGACTGTTACCACCAAAGGAGGCAAAATGGAGAGATGTTGTCACCGTTGAGCTGCAGCGATCACACCAGTCGAGTGTTTACTTGCACTCCGTATGAAACAGCACGATATAAAATAACCTTTATTTCCAGCAAGTTCTCACCCACAAGCAGCTCTGAGGATGATGTACACGTTTGTTACTGTGCAGCCGTGACTCCTGCCCCCCTCAGCGGGGACAAGCGCACACACACAGACACACGGACACAGACACACGGACACACGTGCACAAGCGGCACTGGCACTCCCGCTGCGCTCCGCCGCAGACACTTCCCCGGTGCCGTGAGCTCCTCTCAGCGGGCCCACGCTACCGCCAAGGCTGCATAATTTTTCCCCGCACTTTTGTCCTCCCTCCAGAGCGCCGCCGCGTCCCAAAAAAAGCCCGTTCTCTCTCCCAAAAAGCTGTGTGCTCCAGGTGAGGCTCGAACTCACAACCTCGGCATTGCTCGGCTTTGTACTGCTGTATAAGTACCGCGCGCTAACCGATTGCGCCACTGGAGCCCTGACACCAACTCCTCCCGAACGCCTTATCAAGGCTCGCCCGGCCCCGGCGGGGGAAGGCCGGCGGATTCCCGCCCGCACCCCGCGCTGAGCGGCGGCCCGCGGCCNTAATTGCCACTTCATACATATAAGAAATGCAAATAACTGCATAGTGTGAAAGGCTATGAAACTCTATTTCTGTGAAGTAGCATGGAGAGTGTAGTTTAAAATGTTTATGACCCAGTGTCAATATTTAGCTTGTATTTTTTTGTTAACATATCTTTCTTGCTGGACACAAGCTTGTAAATTTAAGTTTTTAATTGGTCTGGTGATTGAGGAAAATAGAAAAATAAAGTAAGTGTTGTCTGAAATGCAGCTTTTTCCAGTAACCCTTTTTTCCTGTACCCTCAATGCAAAAAATTAATTATTTTTATGTAGCAGTTTTGTGCTTCAGTGCTTTTGCACTTCTCTGGCAGCAAAGGGTTACACATTGAGTCCCTACCTTTGCATAAAAAGAGGGATCAGGACCAGAGGGGAGAACAGAAAACCCAGGTACTGGAACAGGCTTTAATGGATGTGAAGAGTCATGGTAAAGCAGACTAGCAAGTAAAACCCAGGCCCCAATCAGTTCCTGAGGTGTGTGAGATGAACTTATTTACTTGGGTGTCACAGAGACTGCAACACTGGTTCTTTTCTTTGCATCTCTGATACACTTCACAGAAATAGAGTTTCATAGCCTTTCACACTATGCAGTTATTTGCATTTCTTATATGTATGAAGTGGCAATTAACTTCATTTTTCAAAACCTACTGATTTTCAGAAGGTTGCAGAAAATGCTGCCCTGTGATAATAGCCTCAGCCTTATATTAATGGTGAATTTTGTAAGTGAACTTTGTTTCCTCCCTGAGTTGGTTTAATTGTCAGGCTTTCATACCTCCTACCAGACACAAAATGGATTTATGAGCCTACAACTGAGAAAGTTTTCTCTGCAGGTAATAGTACCTTGTTTTTTGCCTGGTGGGAAAAAGTGCAGACTAGGGATTAGAACAGTGGTTGTGGACAAGAGCCCTGCAGTTAAAACTGGTACTTTAATACTGTGACGAACAAGGATAGGCTCAATCAATTCCAGGATCTGTGTTTTTTCCTACTGTGACTCTGGAGATTTTTTTTTGGCTTTCATGACCAACAAATGGAGTCCTGCTCTGCAATAAAAGTAAAAATGGTGAGGCAGAGCTTTACAAAACCATGATCATTAACTAGAGTGTCTGCACTTCTCCAGTCCTGCCAATCTGGGTCATAATCCCCTAAGTGAAAGTGCATTTTAAATAGAAGCTCTCTTTCCTTCACAGCTAAGAACAGAGCTGCCAGCAGTTTACAGATCAAAAAGTACCAAAATGTACCTATCTGTAAGTTGAAAAACAGGCCTTATGAGTTTGCTGTGTGGTGGGGTCTCACCACAGCTGTTCTGTTGGCAGAAATTTCATGTGCTAAATAAATGGTGTGGTGCTGGTGTTTTGTAATTGAAAAGAAGTTATAGACATGAAGGTAAAACAGAGTCTCTCTTACAAATACTTGATAAAAGCACAGTATTGGTTCAAAGTCACACTCCATTGCTTTCTTCAGGTGAAAAATTGCAACAGTATGAGTTAAAGAACTCCCAGTTTTGTACTGCTCATCATGCTGAATTTTTGGGCCTGTAGCTGCACCGCTTATATGTACAAGCCATGGAGAATGTACTACTCGCTTTTAACCAGATCATTTTATCACCTCATACCCATACACATTCACCTACTAAGCACAGTATAGATAAAAATGGAAGTCTGAGATACATCAATAGCAAAGTGCTAAGATACTGTAATGTCTTGAGGTTTTTTTGTTTACCCACTCATTTCATGTGTTTGGAGTCTGAAAAAATGTTTACAGATTTCATTATTAAAAAAAAAAATTGGGGGTGGCAGGAAACAGAGTGAGCAGTCCTATGGCAGCTGTGTAGAACTGGAAAAGAGACTTGTGAGGGAGTAAAAACTACTAAAGATCTGGAAAGTCTGGTTCCTCTCAGTTTCTTGTTTGCCTGACAGTTTGATGGCAATATGTTGCACTTTCCCAAAGGGCAACAGGGTCAGCTCTCCACAAGACCTGCTATAATGTTGGCAGAGTGGATGAAATTAAGATGAGCATTTATGGACAGCTGCTCTTGGTCTTACAAATACAGGAGACATCTGTATTTTGGCTACTTGGCAAAAGAAGATCCCAGTATTTTCAAACAAATGCACATACCACAAAAAACTTCATCTTTAGAATGTTGAAGGGAGGTTTCTATATTAGACTTGAAAGGAGTGAATGCCCCATCCTCACCTGTTTTTTCTGACTGTGTAGCAAGGTCATTTTTGTAGAGAGGTAATGTACACACTCCAGCTGATGCAGTAAAGAGAATTAAGAAACCCCCTGTGAGCAAAACCCAGTCTCCAATAAAAATATATATTTTAAAAACAGTAGTCAATTATTAGCCAAGCTGCTGGAGCATTAGTACTCTCTATGAAGTAACCTTTGGCTGATGGACCTGTCCCCTTTGACAGTGAAGCCTGAAGACACCTCTTCTACCAGCCAATCCCCTAGCCACTGGGGTTGGAATCACGGGCAGTCTGCTCACAGAAAAAGCACTCTTCAAGTTCTAGTATCTCAGGGAGAAGTTTCTTAGGACCATGGAGCTTCTTGTGAATGTAAGAAAATGGATAGAAGAAAACAAAACCGCCTTTTTGCCACCTGTTTGCAATAAGCTTATGTAAGTAAATGAAGATTTCTAATTTCTTTTACCAAGTTATTAGATATATAAATATTCTTAGCTACAAGAGGAAGCTGCAACAATGCACACATGGTAAAGATTAAGAAGGAACCATAATTCCTCTCAGGCTGAAGCCAGGGTGCTGTTACAAAGAACAGAAAGTGAGTAAAATCTGATTTTCTATAACTCAGCAGAAGCTGCAAGGATGACCTTAAATACAAGGTACTTGTCTCAGCTCAAAGTCACTTGTAGGCAGGGAGTCTGAGTTAAGAGAATTTGTGTCAGGCTCTGTGACAACAAATTCTTAGAAACTGGAGGGGATAGCATCACATCCAGAACCAAATTACAACCTGAAATAGCAAGAGCTGCTGAGAATCATTCCAACATCACAGAGGAGCCAAAGATGCAGGAGTAATCAAAATCAGAAGGATATATCACTGAAAAACAAGGAAAATGGACGGGCAGCAATATCAGAGGATCAGATTTCCAGATCTGTCAAGGCAGAAGGGTATGGAGCCTGAAGGGGCGGTTTACAGCTGTTTACAGTATGCTGAACAAGACATCTAGTATAAGGAAAAAAGTGTAGGCCTTACGCAGTTTTGTGTACACCATGCAGGTTCTCTGTGTCAAAGTTTGTGAACAAATTCCAATGTAAATTATCTAATCTGTGTCAAAATATCAATGAGGATTTCTTTTGTCAGTGAAGCTGAGGAGAAAATATTTTGTCTAAAACTCTGTATGCAGAAAGCTTTCATTAGAAAATACTTTCTCTAAGGAGTGATATAGACCCAGGTTAAGTAGCACCAGGTACAGGTGGTGGTAGACTCAGAATCCATGCAGTAGATGGTTTTACTCTCCCTCTACATAGGCTAAAGCCATGTTGGAAAAACTGATTTTTTTTTTATACTATGCAATTTTTATCACAAAAAAATGTTTCTTGTTTCACTGTAACATCTTAAAATGTTTATGGGCAAAGATCTATAATAGATGTCACATTCCAGATTTAGTCAAGGTTTACACAGAACTATTAGTAAGGTTCATTGTACTGATAAGGCAAGAAACACATTAATATTCCCTATATGTAAAATACTAAAATTTTCCCATTATCTTTGGTAAGCATCAGAAATTAATATGCTTCAGAAAATGTTTCCTAAATCCATTTTGAAAATGAATGAAATGGGAACACTTGTAGTGATTAAAGTTTCAGAATTTTTCAGTTCTACGTACAGCTGTAGCTTCAACGCAGACATGGCAGTAAAGATGTACTCTTTACCTTTTCTTTGTCTTATAACCATTGCTTTGAAAAGTAACCCTTGCACCTGTGAATGGAAACTAATATCACTGATACATTACTGCTCATTCAGCTTTTCATCAGAGATAACGCTTAAGGGTAGGGCAAGACTCATATCTATTTTTTTTTTAATGATTTAAAGTAAAGGAAGTGTTTTTAAATTAAAGTTAAGAAAATGCTTTTTAATTTCTTTATAAAACCTGGGTTTATATTACTCCTTAGAGAGACTACTTTCTAATGAAAGCTTTCTGCATAGAGTTTTACACAAAATATTTTGTCATGTCAGCTTCACTGACAAAAAAAATCCTCCATATTTTCACACACATTGGATAATTTACATTGGAATTAGTTCACAAGCTTTGACACAGAGAATATGTATGGTGTACATACAACTGGATTTTCCAAAAGGTTTTAGGTGATTTTCAAAGTAACAACTAATAGATTTCCAACATATTTTTCAAAGGCTTGATCCTTTATGTGCTGAGTTGAGATGTATAAGGCAATCTTCTCACTATGTCCTACTGCCTCATTGGAAGGCAGCCACCTCAAAATTTAACTAAAACTCTTTGTTTCAAGGGAGAGCTAACAGTTAAAACCAGGTCTCACATCAAATCAGTAGGGCTTTTGGTATTTAAAGTTACTACAGCTTTCAGGCTTTTATGACATTTTGTTCCATACATTTGAAAGGATCATAGTTTTTAAATACATATTTGGGATTGCAACACAAAACCTCAATTCCTGAATTACTTTCTATTTATAGTTTTACCAAAGTCAATAAAACAATACATCTAATTAAATTGTAGACCTGACATTGTATTTTATTAACACTATCTTGCAAGCTTAAATGCTTTTTAACCTCAACAATGAGCAATTAGTGCAAAAACAAACCCCTTGACACAGCTGATTTTCACAGGTACTTCTAAAGCTCTTCTTCTGAGTTTAGAATATGATGCTTACCAAAAGGACAACTAAGTGTGGTCATGGACCATCTGATTCTTTGTAGGCTTATAATGTTTTTAAGGGTTACCTGCTAGTACAATTTTCTTTATGTGAATAAGAATAGAAATGTAAGAGTATGGAAAACTTAATAGTCAATTAGTTTGATCTTCGTTCTAACAGTAGTAGAGTCAAGTAATTTTCTCATTCCTGAAACCTTTACAATACTCTTAAATGTATTTTGGCAGTCTTAACTGAAACTGCTTTTCTTTGTTATGATATTTCTTCTTAACTTAAAGCAACTATATTAACCAGGTAACTTTATTTAGCAAGGTGGACAAACTTACCAATTGGAGTTCCTGCTCATATTTCATAGCTGGAATCTTTTGATGGTGTCACTATATATTTGTTAATGATTGAATGATTAACCTGTTTATTATATAAAGCCCAGGTAAATCTGTGGGAAAACAGATTTTATCATAGATTTGCCAAATTAATAAGTTAAGCAGTAATTGTTTTAAAGCAATATTTTCACTTTTACTTCGTGAACTAATAACAAACTGAATGTTTATAAAAAAAATTAACTCATCTTAACAGTAGACTACAAGATACCCACAGATTGCCTTGCTCTTATTTTATTCTTCAGGGTTGATTTTCATTTATTTCATTAATTATTATCTGTATTGCTACTGTTTGGGTCATCCTGCCCTTCTTTAGTAGAAGTGTTCATTAATGCAGAAGCATTGCAATGTGTTGTTGAAAATGAATATTAAATTTGCATGGTACAAACAATTTGGATTTCAGTTCCTTATTTTATGATACAGATATAAAGCCCAATGCTGTAAAATATACAGCTTTCTATGGAGAGAACAGTAAATTCTAATTCTTTAGTTTTATTTGACTGACTAATTTGTCACTGTTACTTGTTTTGTCTGCTTTTCTAGTCCCTACTGTGGTGGTCATTATGATTTAAACACTCTTCACAGAAAAAGTGATAACAGTAGTAGATTGAATATGTATGTGCAACCACTCAGAACAGCATCTCTCAGTTAAGGTTTACAAGGTGCTGTAGGCAAAAGACACGTTGTTGTTCCCTGTGTTTAAGGGGATCATGGCCCAGCTGCTTCCATTTTACTGCCCAGAACCTCCTCATTGCAAAGCAGAGGTTTAACACACCTCAGCTCACTTGTCAAACAGCAGAACAGCAAATTTTGGTTCACAGCTAACAGGCCTGATGCTGAGAGTTCCTTTAGCAAAGGAAAATCTGCTACCTTACCTTTTTATTAGTGTGAATGGTAATTGAGGTGATAGCCATTCCTCGTGATAGCTGATAGGAATGCTCACTGGGGCTCTTAAGAGGGGTGGAGTTTAGAAATGGTCTCCTTTTCGGCAATAGCCACAACCACAATGAGACCATTGTAACGTTGTTCCACCTTAGCAAAACTGGAACAATAAGCAGAACAGAAATTAGCTGGCAGTTCCTACCATCAGTATCTCTGGTAATTCTACCAATGTGAGGGAAAAAAATAGTATGTTTTTACCTTTATTAACTTTTAAGAGTTTTATCTTTACATACTCATGTCAGGTTGAAAAGCCTTTTCTTTAGTTCCTGTCTCTTAGGTAACATTCTTTATCTTTTCAGTTCAATGCTCTTTTCACAGCAGGCAGCTATTGTTGTCCTCTTCTCATAGCTGGAGGCATTGAAACACCAGGAGGGAGATAGTTGGCCTCAGGTCACCCAACAGGATAGTGCCAGAGCAGAGCAGTGCATCCAAGGTCTTGTGAGTTCTGGTACTGGATGCTGCTTTTCACTCAACATTGTTTCATTGACTCACTGTCCTAAAAGAATTTAAAAAAATAAATGAAATAAAGAGCATAATGAATAGAGGTAGCTTCAAAATGTCACTTTCTTTTCTAGGCATCGCTATCAATTAAATGTGATGTTTGTTGGAGGGCCAAATGAAAGGAAGGATTATCATATTGAAGAAGGAGAAGAGGTAACCTATAGGTTGTTTATATTATTCTGATTTATTCATATATAATGATTAAATGTAGCTACTTTTGAAGCTACAGATTAGCAATGTCATGCTCAATGATGTTGTATTTATTAGATATATTCATAGTCTTTAACAGAAGCATTCACCAGAAACATACATCATCTGTGCGTTTTGTTTGAAACAAGCACATAAGATGAGATCTGTTTTGATGTAATTAATTTCCAACAGCAAACTAGAGAAAGTGTTCTGACACATCAAAGTGTCTCATTTCAACATTTTTGAACAGAACTTTAGGAAGGTAATGATTTTTAAAGCAATATTTTGTTGCGGAAGATTGATATCAAAAGTAACTTCAACATTCAAAAATAAAAAATATTACATTTTTTTTTGGTGGACTTTGTGAAAATCATCAACTTTTCAGCTTTCGTTTGGATTTGGAAAGTTAAAGAATAGTCTCTAAATATTTTTCAAACCATTCTCCTGTGCTCAAAGCCATTCCAACTTTGAGTTGTGAGCAGCCACTGCACCAAATGCAGCATGGAAGAAGAAAGAGTAGAAACCTAACAAAAGTGTAGCAATTTACACCTTTGCTTACTGCCTTTTTCTTGGAATTGCTTGCTTGGCCTGGGGACTTCTCCACCACCGGTTCTGAAAGAATCCTAAGGAAAGTAGTTACTAGAGGCCTGGAAGTAAGGGTGTCAGAATGGAGACAATTTGCCTTGCTTCCCAGCAGAGTAATTTAATTTCATGTCATTCCAATTACATTTGGCAACCTAATTTTAAGTCCCTTTGGAAACCCAAGCCTAAGCATCTACATAGTTTAAGGCAGAAGTGGGTCAAGTTTCAATAAATCCTTTCGAAGAGAAAGAAAAATTCATTTACTTATCATTGAATCATTTCTCCCCAAACCCACCCCAGCATTTCACTAGAGCCTTCATTGATTTCCTGTTCTGGCTCTGCCATGGAGGTGTGTGTAGTCCTTACAGACACACAGCTCTGGAGGAGCAGATGCTGAGTTATCCCCTGGGGGACTCCTGCCTGTGTTGGATTGTCACCACCATCTCCCAGCCCACCTGTGGCTGTGGGCACAGGCACATCCATCACATTCCAGGTTACCAGCACATTCCACTGTGTCCCTTCCCATGGGCTGTGCAGGGAGAGCTCTGCAGCACCCGGGACAAGGCCATCAGGCTGCTTGGGTTTCTTTTAAAGGAAAGTTAGGCTGATTTAATTTAACTTTTTTTTTTTTTTATATATTATTTTTTATTTTTTTATTTTCATTTGCAAGATGTTCCTGTATTTGTAAATAATTTGGCCTACTTTTTTATAAATTCTTTATATGACTTCTCAACAAAATAAAAAGTTGGCCATATCTATAAAAGCATAATTTTTAATTCACTGTTGTATACTAATGTTATTGTTAACTCAAGTGGAAACAAGTTTCTTTAGATATCAGTACATACTCATTTACATAGTAAGTTTCCCACAATTACTCAGAAACCAAAAATGGAAACATAACAACCCTATCACATCGGAAAATTGGCAATACATATCAGAAGCATTATCAGTTATGTACCAGTTTAACATATGGGCCAATTTAGTTCAGTTTTATAAAAGTACATTATAGTTATTCATTGCATTTTACTATAGCTTTTTATCAGATACATTTGCACCTTCCTGTGGCCTAAGTTAGAATCAGAATCATGTTTCTCATTAGAGAAGAATTGTGAGGTAGAGAGTATCCTAGCAAAAGGGCATATTCCTAAATTAGATTTGGGATTAAAAAAAACCACCATTCAAAGCCATGTTCAGCTCATTATTTTGTCAGAGAAAGGGTAATTTATAGTTCTGGGTGATAATTTGAAGACAGACTATATAGACGTACTGTCATCAGGCCAAATCACGAATGCAAAAACCCACAGATCCTTCAGGCAAATTTAGCTGATGCTGTTCTACTGCGAGTATTCCGATAGCAAAGTGGGGCCGGTTTGGAGAGAAAGTTAAATTTAGAATTGTTTGTATCTGTCCACTTGCTATCTTGTGCCTGTTATCACACAGTTTATGGAGCATCCTGTGGCACAGCTTGCACTTGAAAGCCTGCAGTTCACAGCAGCAAAGGGTTGGCACGCAGAGATAAAGGCTGAGGAACATCCTCCTGCTCCCGAGCTGCTCTCTGCTGATGCCATTAAGGTGCAGGTGTATCAGGAAGATTAGTTCTGACTGACTAATTAGGAGAAAAAAATACAGAGGCTTGATTTGAACTCTCTTCAAAGCCTTTTAGAATTGTCTCCTGAACAGCCATTTAGGCTAAAATGACAGCTAGTCTAGCACAATTTCGTCCTCTCAACAAGCAAGCATTTCCTAAATAACTCTTACATTTTGTTCCTTCTTAATTTTCTATGTAGTGCTTAACTGCCTTCTTAAATTTTCTACTTCTCTGCCACCTTTCTGCACAGAAAGAGTCTCATACCTGAGACATTGTTTTCCATTGCACAGGTTTTTTAAAGAGAAAAGTCAAGCTGCACCTTACCAGAGATAAACCATTACCAGTCTTTGGCTGGAATTTACCAGGAGGTCACATTCATTCTTATTTGTCAAGTTCCCTTTTGCTGCCTTCTCCATCAGAATAGAGGCAGAGTCAGCAAACACCTACTCAGACATTCTCTACCTCTAAATCAGACTCATTCAAAATGAAGCAGTTGCTTTGGGAAGTGCATCTTCTGTTGGAACATGGCAAAAAGTGCTGTAAGAATGTACCTGTATAGCTAATGCTGACAAAACTTTCAAACACTAGGAAGTGTTTGTGCTACATAATGAGTTCTGAGGGTTTCAAATGAATCATTACTCTGATGTGCCTCATTTGTCAAGAGACTTTTGGGTTCCCTGGACTAGTGACTACAATTCTTGTGTAGTCAAATTGATGAGGTCACTGAAAGTTTCTGTGGCAGCCCTGACATGATCATAGAATTGCAGAATCAGTAAGGTTGGAAAACACTGCCAAGATCATTGAGTCCTACCTTTGAACACCGCCTTGTCGTCTAGACCATGGCACTGAGTATCATGTCCAGTTGTTTCTGAACATCTCCAGGAATGATGACTCTACCACCTCGCTGGGCAGCCATTTCAATGCCTGACAACCCCTTCCATGAAGAGATTCTTTCTGCTGTCCAACCCAAGCCTCCTCTGGCACAGATTGAGGCTATGTCCTCCTGTGCTCAACCCCTCACAGCTATGGGGTAGCAGGTACCCAGGAACAGTCCTCAACGTATCTCGGTCTTGGAATTTTCATCATACCATAGCATTTGTGACAAGAAAATTTCAGTGTTAACATAGCCTACAGGCTTCATGGTCTATTCACTGCATTTTTACTTACTTGTAAAGCCTGAGGGTAGAAAAACCCAAAATCTTCTTTCAAAGAAAAAAGCGAAAACTCAAGGGGACCTTGAGTTAACTTTTGGAGAAAGTTAATGACAGAGAAACACCACAATCATAGCAAAGCCTAGCTCTAGTAAAAGGATTTCAGAATTTATTTACCGCAACGTGTGGGCTGCTTTGGGGGAAAAGTGAGATATGCTAACAGCTAAATCTAGGATCAAAAAAGTATTTAGGTTGATATCTCTTTGGCCACCTCAGTCCACCATTTACACACAATGAATCTCAACTGACTTTGATTTAGCTGATTGATTTCCTAACATTTTACATTCTGATGCTGAGTCTATATAAAACAGTGCAGTTCCATGCAGAGAAATTAAAATCAGCTTTTCATCTACCGCCTGCAACAGATTTGCATTGGCACAAACCCCATATGGATTTAGAAGTCCCACTTCTCATTGTACTATACTTTACCCTAAGTTTCTGCTCTCAGTATCTAGATTGTTTCCTATGGATAGAGCCACCTAATTATTGGCACAGCCCCACAGACCAAAACCGTCATACTGCAGTCCTAAAGAGAACTCTCAGAGCAGGAGTTCCCCTTCCTATGATCATCTCGGTGAATCTCTTCAGCTGCTTCTAGCACATTCACATGGTCTTATTGACAAATAAATTTGTGGTTTGAAACATGATGCAGGTTTTTTTACCTCTGCCACAACCCATCTGAGTTTTCTGAGCTGAGTTTTTATTTCAGTTTCTCTCACTTTCACACAGACACCACAAGTAAGACTTGGCTCCAGTTTCTGACAGATGATCTGCTTAAATGAAGCCTGACCCCTTCTAGTGCATGCTGCTCTCCAGTCAGCATGCTTTTAAGAAACTCTCCCCTATCAGATCAACTTGTCCTTTGCATTTTATAAGGATAGTGGATGTCTGAAAACAAGGGGAAAATGGGGCTAGGTGAGCATTCCCATAGGTTGTTTTGTGGTGCTTATATCCCAAATAAATGTGAGAACCTGAATCACAATGAAGCAAAAGAAATGTTTTTGCTTCTTTACATTTAAAAACCCCTACATTTATCTGGTAAAGACCCTTGGAATATTTTAATAAGAAACAAAGCTCCTATTAAAATGTAATAAGGACGGTGATCCTTTTGCATCAGAAGGAGATTGTGTCTTCCGAAATATTTTTGCTGCATTAGAGTGTTGGGATGAGTTTTGGCTAGTATTCAGGTTCCACAAATGACATGTAAATGAGCAGAGGGAAATAAAAAAAAACAAACCACACCAAAAAGTCCTCTAATACAGTTATCTCCGTCTTCCTCATCTATTTGTCTTGTAGACTTCTAATGCCTGAAAAACCCTTGTGATGAGAAAGGGAGAAAATTGTTTTTCTGTACTCAAATAGATCAGTCACCACTGAAGTCTGGAGAACACCCAGGTTCTACTCCCACATCAGAATTTGATTTGCTCTGCAAATTAATTTAGTACTTAGCCATATGACAAGCGATACAAGCCAGGATATACCAAGCCAGAGCATAATCCCAGAAGTGGTTGAGCAATCCCAAATTCCACTTTTAGATGCAGTCAGAACTCAAACATCCTGCTAATTGCAGGTCTCTTTAGAGGTCTGTAAATAAGCTGTCAGCTATCAAAGCCCTCATGGAGCTCTGAGTTCCTGTGTCTAGGCAGAATTTGATATCAAAGGTGGATCCAAACTAAATTACGTACACTGCTGTACATAAAATAAAACAGACTTGTGGGTTTTTTAGTTAGCCAATACAGACCAATTACAAATTCTAGATGCTTTTTTGTTAACTCTGCTAGGATACATATAGCTGGATGAAGGAGCAGCTCTCACCACACTAATATAGTGAGGATTTTAGCTCTTTTTAAGGTAGCATCCACATGTTCTACTACCCTGTTGAAATTTCTGTCAAGACAAGCAGCTTCACCAATGCTTCCACTGATGGCAACAGTGAATTCCTACCTCTGTGCATCTCCTCCTCTTGCCTCCAGAAATGCTAGCATAATTTATTCTGTGAGTATTCATAATTGAATGAAATATCCCTGTACAGACTTGATAGTGATTCAGCACTGGCCACACTGCCTTCCCCTGCAGGCGCAATACTGTGAGGCTTGAAGCATGATCAAAAAGGGTGAAGCAGACTAAGGAAGGAGGATGAATTTCTCCTACAGCAAAGAAAATTTAAGGAAAATTAAATCAATAATTAAAAAACCCTCTCAGTCTTAAGATGTTTTCATTTGAGTTTTGCAGGTATATCTGCAGTTTTAATGATGATACTGAGCAGTGTTATGAAATAATGTTATGCCTGGGACCAGGAAGCATTTCTAGGTGGCTCATAACTTCAAGAGGTAAGGTGAGCATTAGTAAAGGAGGTGTTCTTAGTATCATCATAATGACAAGATATGACATAGCAGAAAACTGAACAAAATGCTCAAGTCTGTAAAAGGAGAAGAAGAAAAAAAGAGGATACAATAATGAATAAATAAGCACATTTAGCAACAAAGGATAATGAGAATGGTGAACAAACTTTGTTTCTTCCTTATGACACATTTTTCACCCAGAAAGACAAAATTCATGCCAAATTGTGAGCCATTATGCAGTAGCAATATACAAATCTAGGCTTTTCTACAAGAAGACATATATACATTTCATGTAACAAGAGGCCTTGTCATTAATAAGATGCTAATAGAGCAGAAATGTTGCATATTTCCTCAGTTTTTAGTACTGCTGGGGGGAATGGATACTAGATTATTCCAGTAAGAATAATACATCTGGAAAAGCTTATATTTTCAAGTGGTATGAATTAGGTGTATATACTTGTGTATATACATACATACACACTCAAATTTTCTAACTCAGGCATTGATACTTTTTCCCAGAGAGACTTAGGAAAATGTTAGATTTGCCCCAAAGGCAAAAGTCAGTCAGTGTTTAGAAGAAGTAAGTTTCCAAAGACAGTACTATGTTACCAATCTGGTCTCTGAAATGGATGTGACCTGTAACTCACTGAGATATTAAATAGCTGACAGTTTCCTTGATAGAAAGTTCAGGTTATATTATAAACAAAGCAGTAGATTCAGTAATTGCTGCCACTTGTATTAATCACAGTTACATCAAATGATTTATGGATGACTGAAACATTCAAGCAGTTTAAAAGAAAAAAACTTTTGAAGACTAGATCATCATTTACAGTGAAAGGTACTATTTAAATTCAGTCAGAAAAACACTGTCATTGACAATGTGTAGTGTTCGTCATTCCTCCTCTCCTACTGCAAAACAATTTGTTTAATTCATAACTTACTGTTTATAATCTTTCCTTATGACTGTGATGCTTCACCTCTGAGCTGTATAGCTGACATCCACTCTCAAACTTTTCATTTCCAGGAAGGTTGCTCAGCTGCATGATTCATGTCAGAAGCAGGATAAACTCTGCCTCTCTTTTCCTTTCCCTCATCTACATGTCCTGTGCATGTGCAGTAATATGCCCCAGTAACTGCAGAGGAAATAACACTCCAAAGCTCAAGATTTCCAAAATACTTTAGGTTTCAGCATTATCAGTGCCATATGACCCACAGCTGGTGTGGCAATCCATCTAGATCATATGGTCTTAGATAACTTCTATGAACTGAAGGAGAGGTGATTTCCCCACTGAGATCACTCTTCTGTCGTGCAGGGAGCTCCCAATGGAAGGAGGGTGGCTGTAGCATTGTGTGCTGCCCTTTGGAAATACCAAAGAAAGTCAGAGCAAAAGAACACAGGGAAATAGACTGCAACGATGATTAGTAGCCTGGCACCGTGACCTTGTAGAAAAAAGTTATAATTTATCTGTAGTCATGTCCTTGGCACAAGGTGAACTCTTCACTCATGTTAAAGCTCTCAGCATGAGCTTTTTTCCAGTGTATCTTAAGTTTTCCCTATTGTTTTGTTCCCTTGGCAGCATATTTATTCTTTCTTATGTTCACAGAGGTGTTTTTTTCAGTTCCAGGGGGCATATATTAATATTTCAAAACTCTTTCAGAAATAATACTGATTATTGCTTGATTAAAGCTTGATTAAGCTTTTCTAATGTTGGTAAGAGTTCAGTTCACAGGGTTTGCATGCTTCAGTGGTTTCTTCTTTCCCCTATTTATTTTTAATTTTGATGAAATTGTAGTGACTTGCTATAAATAAGGGATTTTTTCAGCTATAGTTCCAACTTTGAATCATGTTTCAAACTATAGCTGCACTAGCACTCTGGTTTCTAGATGTGATAAACAGAACATGGAAAGGATGGCAGAAGTGACTTTTGGAAATATTATTGCTCTGCACTACGTAAAAATGAGGGGGAACGTGCCCATTATTTCAGGTCAAAGATACAGATCTGCTTACAGATTGTAACACAGTTCTGTAATGAAACATGAAAACCTGAGCACCTCAGAGCCCCCACAAAGCAGAACTGGTTTCTGAATCTGAATCTGAATCTGAAAACAGCCATGGAAATGTCACCAAAGACAGAATTTTGGGTTCAGTGGTTCTGTTCTTACACACACTTTGAATGTAAACCTTTTACATACACAGTGGGAAGAACAGCAGCTGTTTCTGGATTTGAGGGTATCCACAAAAGTGAAGCAGAACAGCTTCCAAATGAGCAATTATTCCCAAATGAGAAAGTGCCATTAAAAAATTGAAAACCTACAGGAGAAAAATTGTGTGTGCATATTTGGAGCTTATTTGGAGAAATGGCATTTAATCTGATTGATTAAAGACCCTGCTGCATCTGAAATGAAGCTTTCTATATCATGTAATTATTTTATGCTTGAACAGTAATGTTGAGCCCTCCAAAAAGTAATTCCAATGGTAAAACCAGGACAGTGGAATTCCAGGAGGTCCAGAGGATAGATCTATATGCAGTTACAGACCTCTTGGATAGATTTTTAATTCTTAGTAAGATAATAGAAATAATACATATTCTGTAACACTTTTTAAATCAACAGGTTTTAGAAGCCTGTTATTGTCAGAAAAAATCTGAAAATACTTGCAACAGCAAATTGAATGTATTTATACATGTATTCTTCATATAGAGGATATAAAGTACAGCATGTTTTGGAGTACCTGCCTTAATGCTACTTTCTTATTTCTTCAGCTTTTTTACCAGGTTCAAGGGGATATGTGTTTGAAGATAATTGAAAATGGGAAACAAAAAGACGTTGTCATTCGAGAAGGGGAGGTAAAACAAGATTGTTTTTCTGTTATAGTTGTACCTAAGTATGTTAAATGAATGCTTTATGTGTTATTTAGAAACCAATTTATCCCTTTTGTGCAAGAGGTGGCATCAGGATTGATTAGAAAAATAAGCTTGAATGGAGTATAGAAAATTTCAAGTAAATAATAGGAAACTACAATAAACTGTGTTCAACATTTGACTGTTTCAATAATAGATAAAAATGTCTCTGAACATCTGGGGTACTTAGATAGTCAAGACCTTACAGAGAGAAGTTCTTGTTCTCGTGCCTTGCATGGGATCTGCCGTGTGAATTCCGTTGGATCAGTCTTTTATTTACACCTTGCCAGGTACACACCACTCTCCCACACACACACACCATAAAGTAAACTGCCTAGACTGAGGAATTTAAATTATTCATATATATTCAGCCTTCTTTAGTCCTCACAGCTTGTCTTTCCAACTATCACAGTAGGACAGCTTTAAGAGAGCCGTTCATGAATAAAATGTATCCAATTTTTCTTTATAGTAGTACAGTTGCTAAAGCATAGATTGTAGTGTTTTTACTGAGAGCATGAATAGATTCTGGCTGTTAGTACGAGTAAGATGTACAACAACTGCCACTCGTGGTTATTGACACAAGTTTGGGCTGCACTTGAGTCTTTGAAAGGATTATTAGGTCTAGTGGAGACAGCCTTTAAAATGGAAGATGTCTTAAACCCAATAGCTTAATGTCCTTGAAAGCATTGCAGCTTTTTCAATGATGAAACAACGTTTTCTGGTATTACACTTCATACTGAAGGAGCACACACAGCTGAGATCTCGGCATGTAAGAGAAGCACTAATGAAAAGCAGCACACAATGCTTGGTGGAAAGACTGACACTAGTACTGCTGAAGCACTGTCATTAGCTGTGTTTTGTAGACAGAGAAACTGTAATGACTACCCAACCTTAGCAAAAACATCTGTACTGGTGAAGAATACAGGCTTACCAACTTGCTACACAGGTAGCTGCTTGGAAAGGGTTTATTCTCAGGCTTCAGAAATAGACTTCAATTAAGCAGATGTTGCCTTTTCACTTTGTCACTTGCATGAGTAAATAGCCCCTCATATTTGTTAATTATTTCCGGAGAGAATAGCATTCCTCATCATGCAATCAAAGGTGCTCACTGTGTTGGGAGGATACATGTGGCTGATTAGTTCAGGCATTTTATTGAGCTGACAAAAAAATGGTTTTTCATTTCCATTTCAGTTACTCGGAAATTGCAGTAAGTTTATAGATTTCAGAGGAGTAATTGGTTAGATTTTCATTTCAGTTGTGTCTAGCAATGATGATCAAACCAGGAGGAGAGAACTTGACTGCCATCAAGGCAGTGCTGATTGCAGTCACTATGTCATCATTCACAGAGAGAGCAGGAAACTCTTTGCAGGCTGTGAGTAGCACAGCGGGTGCAGCTGCAGAGGAGCAACATGGGATCAACAAAAAGTAGGGGAGAAGTTGGGCAAGGAGAAGAAGATTTTGCTGGTTGAGGGGCAGGAAAATAACAATGCAAAAAACAAAGACTTCCTGACACTGATGCTTTCTGGTTTTTTTAACAGATGTTCCTGCTACCTGCCAGGATACCTCATTCTCCTCAGCGATACGAAAACACTGTGGGTCTTGTGGTTGAGAGGGAAAGATTAAAAACAGAAATTGATGGGCTAAGGTGAAGTATAAACTATTGACTGATCTGTTAGAATTCAAAATATAAACTAATTTCTCATATCAATGCTGTGTTTTAATTTCCTGATAATTTATCAGATTCATCCTGGCAATTTTGTGCTAATTCTAGCCACACATCTATTTATCTATACACACGTAAACAGAGATGTCATTTAGCATTTTCTTTAGTTAAACAATATTGAAATTTATTAAATACATGTTATGGTTACAGCAATTTACTTATGTACTACCTACTGTTATTGCCTTAAGTTTTAAAAAAGAACTCAGAGCTCTCTAACAACCCAAAGAAAAAAGGTTTTTTTATCAGTTCTGGCAAGCAGAATATTAATTCCTCTGAAAGCACTGAAAGCAAAAATATCAAGAGCTGCTTTCTTGTCAAGTGTGTGGGAAGCTGGAAACAAAAGTCAATTTTCTCACCGCTAGTCCTTCTACATTGTACACACCTCTATCTAGGTTTTGTTGCCTTCTGAGAAAAACATCTTCATGCAAGTGAGGGGTTTGCTTTGCATTCTAGAGGGAGCAGGACTTATCTTTGTCTTGTGTCCATACAGAATTCACAAGTCTAAGAGGAAAAGTCACAACAGTATAACATTAGCCAAGCTAGAAACGCTGCCTTGGTATTTACCAGAGATGACAGACCAAGCAGAATTTATAGCTGTTCATATAATCCATTGCATGGGTAGTGTCACAGCAAGAAGACTGCAAGTATGCAGAGCTAGAAAGACATAATTTTTCATTCTAAGAAAAAAGGCTACAGAAAGAAACTAAGAAAGGGGCCATTCAAGAAAAGAAATCCACATGATTAAATTCCAAGCTAAAAACAAGTCCAGTTCATTTAAAGTATTATTTACCTATGCACTTGTCTCTTTTTATCCTTTCATTGCAGATCTGTAGATTGTGTGGACTTACATTATTTAAAAGATACTTTGAACTAGAAAAAATTGGCCAGTGATTTAGATTAAAATATTTATTATTAATGCAAAAAAAACACCAAAAACTTAAATAGTAAAGTAAACTTTAAGTAAAATAAAACAACCTACCATGTGAAGTCTGTGAATGGTATGAGAGAGGGAAATGCTGAATGCTTTTTTAGGGATCCAGGCTGATCTAGAGATTTGCACTCCAATATAGGCATGCTCATGTGGAGAAGCTAAACTAAAAGCTACCTTATAGCTTGTGAGTGGAAATTAGCACATCCTCAATTCAAAACATCTAATCAGATGCCTGAAAATAAATCAGAGGTTTTTATTGCCCTTGTTTTCACACTGATGTGATGAATAAAGACACTTGAAGTTTTGGAAGTGAACAATCTTGTCATGCTTTTGAACCTACATTCCCTCTATGTGCTCCTGGGAGAGAGAGGAATTTACAACTAGAACCTCTAATGTTCTCATACTTTTTTCAATACCAGCCATCTGCAGCAAAGACTCACAAGAGGAAATCATAATGCACTTTGAAGTATGCTGACTCAAGGTCTAATACTGTGTTACTGTTCCATTATTTACCATGTCTACAAACCTTAGTGATAAATCAGAGCCCCCAGTGTGCTGATTACTGCGCAAGCGAAGAATAAGTAGCCTGCCCCAGTGTTCCAGTCTAAGTAATGATTACATGTCTTATGCTGTGAGAAAAATGATCTAGCTAATCTTAATTCTATGCCAAATAAGTATGAAACCAAATAATTTTGATGTTAGTCATATTGTTGGATACTTTATTTGTACCAAGCAAGATACATTTTTAGCATCTCCCTTCTCTGTAGATTTTCTGTGTTCAGAATTTGTGCTGGCATCCCAACTTTTCTTATATTGGAGATATAGATACTGTTACTCTCTTCAATGTATTCTCTTTTTGCAAAACTTGAGGAGCTCTTAGAAAATTTCTGAAAAATATGTGTATAGATACATGAGACAGACATGAACATACAGATATGCACAGGATAATTACATAAGTTTTGCATTCCTCTTCAGGTACACATTCCAGTAACTTTAACCTTAAAGGCATGTGGGACCTTTTTAAAAACATTGACAATATGAGTGACAGGACTGGAGCATCATTCCTTGTCAGTCCATGCAGTCTTTCAAAAATCTGAGTGTAAATTCTGTATCTGCCATTCCATAGACCAATTCCATACAGCAGCCTTGACTTGCTGACCTCACCAAAATTTATTTCTTTATTTGTTAAGACAAAAAATTAACACAAGTGAAGCACTAAATTCCTTTTCAGAGGGGTGACTCAAACACTTCCCAAATCTGTGTAGTTGAAAACCACCTATTTTTCACAAACAAGTCCATAAGCCACCTTGTTTTCTTATCAGCCCATGCATGGGCATTAAACAAGCTGATTCTATCAAGTATGGGTATTTATATCATAGATGGAGGGAAGCAATTACTGGAAATGGTAATTTGGGTCCAGTCTTTTTGCACTACTACATTCAAGGTGAAAGTTATTGGTCCCAAGAGATTATGGCAGCAATCACTTCCAGGATGAAACTGGGAAAGGTTGCTGAAGGAATTTGGTGATTTATTTGTGATTGATCAACAGAACTACAAGTCACTCCACAGAAATTTGAACGTCTCACCCACCAAGTCATCTAACCAGGGAAACAGAGAGCTTACCCAGATAACCATTCCTCAGAATGAAGTACACCGGGCTTGACAATAAGTTGCTCTTACACAAATCTAGTAGCTGTTTTCTTCAAAAGACTGAAACTGCCTGATCAGTTAGTTAATAAAAGGATTGACTAATGTGTTTACTTTATCAGATATTATGTTGGAGAATCAACTAATGTCCTCTTTGAAAAATGGTTTCACTGTGAAGATCTTGGCACTCAACTTATACCAATAATTCAAGAGTAAGCTTTTTCCTTTGTAAATTTAAAAAAAATTGAAATCATATTGTAGATCTTTGTCAATCTGTGTCTTATGTCATTAATTTGCTAATTATGCTGCATTTGCATAGACTTCTAAAAAGTTAATTGCCGCTCTATAAATTTTTAATCATGTCTTGCATGCCCCAAATTTATCAAATCAGGTTTTAAAAAAATGAGAAATCAAATATTTCACACATCCATCTGGAGCACACTTCTTCGAACCAGTAAACTTTGCAGCACACTGCTTCTAAGTGCAAAAAGAATTAAGTGAAAAATTAACACTGATTAATATTAGATTATCAAAGTAAAGCACTAAACTGCTTTAAGGCTTCTTTCACTCCTGCTTTAATGTAAGTACTTTTAATTGATATTATTTATGCATGATTAGGATTGTGGCAAATTTGGTAGAGAGCTACTTTCTAGGAAACATGTGAATGTCATTAATCAATCAGTTTATTAAATGGTTACTGCAGTTGAACAAGGGAGCTGTTTAGTCACATTCATCTTACAGGACTTTCAGACAAATCCTCTGTCTGTAAAATAGTTATAGTCTTGCATAATAAATGTGATAGTAGACAGGATTTGGCATATCCATTATCAGCACAAAACTTACTGGCCAGTATTACTGCCTAGTCTTTGTTAACCTACAGAACATAACTTTTTTACTTCTGTTTAAATGTTCATTATTCCAGGTTTTTCAATTCAAGGCAATATAAAACTGGAAAACCAAACCCAGGTAACGCAAATTAATTTCAGAATTAGAAAAATTACTGATAGAAGAGCAATGATTCTCACCACATAAAAGATATATTTGTTTTTCCTTCTGGTTGTGTAAATTAAAGTTACTTTGGGAATTCTTTTCATTACTGCAAGGAAATTCCATATATTTGATTACCAACAGCATCTTGTTTGGTCATGTGATGCCATCATAACCACCTATCAGGTAACTATACTGGTTTGAAACACTAGTATCTCTATCCTTCCATGCCTTTCAAGCCTTATACTAACAAAATTTCACTTCTGACAGCCCATAATGAGATTTTTGCAATTAAAATTAATACATTTTATACCTACTTGTACTCCTTTACTTATAACTATATTCTGTGATCTACTCTTGGGAAATCTAGATTAAGCCAGATGATTTTGGTTCCTGTAGAGCCTGTTTAACATTTTATTTCCATGCTGTCTTGCCACATTTTTTATTTTGTCTCTGTTGTGGATAGTGATTGCAAATTCCACACTGGAACAGATACTCCAGTAGTAACTCCATTTGAATTTATTGTAAAGAGACATAGAACAGAGAAAGTGACTTCTAGAAAGCAAAATTATTAGTTTTGGCTTTAGGATCCAGATCTCTCAAACATGATGCTTGTCTTCTGCATGGCAACAAAAGCCTCAATTGCAAGGATATTGCAACAGCACCTGCAGTGGGAAATTGTTTTGCTGAAATCTTACAGTCCTGCTGGCCCACAGCTTTACATGAGCACACAGCATGTGCATGATCCATTACTATTAATTAACATAAACTATGCCCAAAACACCACCCTTACATCTTAACGATGTACAAAAGACCACACTATACAACCATTTCTGCACCTGCAGGATCAGGCTCCATAGACTATTTGGAAGTGCTTTATTTAGGTACAACCTGATCCGTCCTGCTGCAAGAACTACCTGGAAAGTCTCCATGACACTACCAAGTTCTTAACTGACACATGGAAAATCATCATAAGAGCAGAAACTTCCTGTGTAATCTCCAGGACAGCCTGAGATTCCTTTCTGGAAAGTTCCTGCACCAGCTAGCCAAACACCAACCTTTTCAGTCAATCCCGCTGCTCAGCTAGGTTTGTTCTTTCAAATCTCTCTGCTGTCTCATCTGTGATGGCAACTGAGAGACTTCCTGCACCAAGAAATGTATTTATGGCTCAGGTACACTGCACCCAGCTCTGCTACGCTTGATGTAATGACCAACTTGAATGTCATGCCCCAGTCACACTCAGAACCTGAATTGCATAGCTCTTGTCACAAGAGAAATTTTAGTTTCCCCTCTCTAAAAGGTTTTTGGAACCAGCTGTCCTTAATCTCCACATCTATTCCTAAATATCTTAAGATTATTGTTATGGATTACTCTAAGAGAGACATAAGTTCCAGTGGAACGTTATTTCCACATCTATCCAATTTCTCACTTTGATAGTCACCATAAAAAAAAGTCACTGTCTGACATCTCAGTCAATAACAGAACAAAGCTCTTACTCAAATCCTAAAATTGGGTTAAGCTTTTTTTTTGCATGAACATCAAAGTTCTTAAAAATAGTTAACTAAAACATTGTCACCAATGTGAAGTTAAGAGAAAAGTCTTCTGTATGGGATAGCAACCTTAAAGCCCTTGCAATTAGAAAATGGTAAAGCAGTCAGAAACTCTGCCTGAAAACTTTCCTGCTGAACCAGCTTGAGGTATTGGTTCTTTGTCTGACTGGGGAATGTGATTCTCAGGGAAAGGCTCCATGTTTCTTATAAATAAAATGGGGTGGTCTCCAAGATCTTACTTTGATTTCTATGCACTATCAAAATCTGTTTTAGTCTGAGCATGTCACCTGTTTGGGTGTTGGTGGTTTGGTTTGTTTGGGGCTTTTTTTTGCATGGAATGTGTGAGGACTAGGTAGCACAGGCACTGCCTTACTGTGTGTTCATACTGTGTTTAGCAGAGGAAATAAAATTTCAGATGAAGCCTCTAGATGTTGCTGTAATAAAAAAAATACCGTATCACACATAGAATCCTTGTTCAGTACAGTGGTTTCCAATAAGCATCCCTCACCAGGCTAAGAGTTTTAATGTCAGTAACAAATTAATAATATCAGGGCAGAAACAAAATAACATAAAAAATTTATATTTTTAATATTTTGCACAAGATTAGAGCTAAGGAACAAACCTGACAATCAGTCAGAAACTACAATATAGCCTGACACCTTTTTTTTAAACAAGTAATTCTGAGAAACTGTTATTGATAAATCCAGTACAGAAGCTTTTTTCTTGCAATTTGCCTGGCAAGTTTTCAGCCTGGGAAACAGCTCCCTTTTTCCAATTTTCAGGTTTTGTGCACAGTAGCTAGCCCAACGTCTCAGTGATAGCTTATGTATGAGGAAAATACCCCATATTTTTAGTTACAAAGGTTTTAGTTTATAGCTCCTGTAATTGTCAATGAGAGTGACAGTGATAAAAAAAAAAAACCCTATCAGTTTAACTGAGATAGAAATAAGCTGGTAATATGTTTACTCTGAAGGCATACCCAGCTGATATAAAAATAATGCTTCAGATTTATTCCCTCAGCAGCTCTCTTTTCTTTCTTTTATTTTTTTTTTTCTTTTAAGAAGTAGAGTTCCACAATCAGCATGACATTTATAACATACAACAAGCTACCACCAGTAGCCATGATGTTTCTCTCAATACATACCTCAGCACTGTTTGAGCTGGCTTATGCAGAGGATGGAGTTTCAGCCTTTTTTTTTTTTCCTAGTTTCTCTTCTGAAAATCCAGAATAACCTCAATTTAAAAGTGCCAGCTGAAGCACTCTCAGGTTCCTCTCTACATAAGCCTGAACTAGTACCTTACCTTCCTAGAGAGAAATGAAATAAAATTGAGGAAAAGCATCTTCAAAGAAATCCTTGATTGCAGCTCACTCATAGAGGAAGGCTGTAAATGGAATCAATCAAGCTCCGATGGCTTTAGAAAAAACACCACATAAAAAAACCACCAAACCCAAACAAAGATACAAAAAAAACCCCATAAATAAACAAACAAAAACAACAACAACAAAACAAAACTACAAACAAACAAACAAACAAACAAAAAACTTAAATCCAGACCTTTTATTGATTTGTTTGTGGTTTCTGGCTTAGCCAATAGCAGGGAAAGTCCCTCTGAAAGTAGGGCAATCAGAATATATGAAGACACAGCAGAAGAGGGACTCAAATACCACCAGGAAAAGCATAATCACAAATACATATTGTATCCAATCCTTACTTGAGGCATCATCTCTGGAAATGTTTTGTATTTTATTACTGGACTCTTTTGTTTCCATGTGCAGAAATAAAGTCTGAGAATAATCTCTTGTTTTTTATCAAAAAGAGTGTATTTAGAATATAGGCTATGCAAGAAATGCTCAAGATGGGTTGGTTTGGGTTACTTTTTGTATTTTTTGACACGAGGAATCATAGTTATCAAAACAACACTTTCTACTTCAGCTGAATCAGCCTGAGAGCAATATTATCCTAATCTATCTATTTCATCCCACTTCTCTAGTCAAGAGGACAAGCGACAGTTCAGACAGAGAAATCTCAGTTCCGATAAACAGTGATGGCTAAATATTCTTTGCAGAAGTAACCAGAAGCTCAAAAGCTTTTCCTGCCATGCCTGAAATAATCCAGATTTTTTTAAGAGTAATTTGATGGGAAAAAAACTGCAAGAATTTTTTCCTTAGTTAGGTGTGTTTGAAATGAACCTCATGAACATTAGTGTTGTATGTAGAATGTCAGGTTTTTGTTTATCCAAACTAATCTACTTCTTATTATCAATGAAATTTAATTTCCCAAACAAGGTTTATTGTGAGTGAACATACAGATATTTAATAGAAAATCCAGTCCCGTAGTGCTTTCACTAGGAAAATTTTCATTGATTTTTCAGTGTATCTAGGATGATTTACAGTCTAGATTAAGAATATAGTTAGCATAGTTAGAATACAGTGCAGTTTTATGTTTGTGATTCAGAGCAAACAAAACCTAAGGAATTGAATGAGCACAAAAAATTAAGTAATTTCTTCTGTCAGTGGTGTAGGGGTTACCATAAAGCCTAGGGCATGCTTTGTAAATGTTTTGTGGTCTCAGCAGTGCTATTAAAGAAGTTATAAGGATAAGCTCAGCACTATAAAAATCAGCTTCTGTATGGTCATCCTCTATAGCTAATCCAGTGAGCTTCCATAGACAGTATTTGCTGCTCAGTGTCATTGCACTGATATATAAAAACAAGCAGATTTTTATTCTTCTATTTTTTTCTTCTTTTCAGTTAACTGGCTAGTGAGCAATGTTAATTCAAGTAAAACTACTTCAGAAAACTAAAAACATGGAGGAAAAACTTCTGTCTGCATTTGCATTAGGGCAAGTACAAGGCCATACTTTTGAACTTAAAATAACTGTAACTATTTGTGCCTTTCTGTTTTAAGTACATTGAAATAATTCTGAAGATACTGTCTCTGTGGGTTTCTTTTCAAATAAGAATGCTAATTTTGAATGTAAGTTTTATTTGCTATGTATCTGTTTAGAAAATTGACTTTTTTGATTCTCCTTCCTCTCATCTTGAAGGACTTCCAACACACCTAAATGGATTAATCCTTCTCTTCTATAACATAGCACTTCTTTATGCTCTGAGTACTTGTATTTAAAAAAAAAACCACAACAGTATATGAGCATTTAGCTATTAAGGACTATCCAATTAAGGACTAATACAGAGACTTAATAATTTTAAACTCTCCAGACCCATCAAAATGGTACAGCTCCCCACAACACCATCTCTGTAACTTTTATCAACAATGTGAATCTTCTGTATCATCCTCATTGCTCTCTTCTGACAATGACCATATAAACTCCACTTTAGTCTGTCATATGTAGGACCTTTAAGTAACTTCCAAGTCATGTTTATATCTCTCCTGAAACAGCACCTAAACTGCAAAGGATATGTAGGTGG